TGGGTTGGGTTGGATGGGTTGGGTTGGATGGGTTGGATGGGTTGGGTTGGATGGGTTGGGTTGGATGGGTCTTAAATCCCTTCTCATCCCAGCCCTGCCACGGTGCCAGGGTGCTCCAGCCTGCCCTTGGACACTCCCAGGGACCCAGGGCAGCCCCAATTTCCCAACTTCTGTAGAGAAATAATGACATTTTTATTAATAATTATTATCTGTATAAAATCATAGAATCTAAAAAGCAATTATTTCCCATAAAACCAGCTCCATGCAGCTTTTTTAACTTTCTAAAAGTGTGAAAAAATCAGAGTAAGAGTGTGTGTGTCAGCTGGAAAGAGTTTCTGTCTAATCCAGCCCCCCTGATCTGTGCAGCTCTTGGCACTGGGACACTGGGGGAATAAAAAATTCCAAACATTTAAAACATGCTTGGTCTTTCTCGAGTCTTTTTTACTTCTCCCTGCTTTTGTTTGCCTTGTTTAGGAAAACCAGCTGGTATTAATTGCACTTCATGCACCAGCAGCATGAACAGCAGCCAGATCTTGGGAACTGGAGCCTAATCCCAGGAATCCACTCAATTGTTTGGGAAAAAAATTGCATTATCCCTCTGTTCAGAACTGCAGGAAAATGAGGGAGCAAAAGAAAAGGAGGGATAAAATAAACTTCAGTCATAGGAAGAGAAATAGAGATATCAGAGGGTGGAATTCCCACATTTGCTGCCCCTGGATCCCTGGGAGTGTCCCAGGCCAGGTTGGACACTGGGCTTGGATCCAGCTGTGGGAGCTGGGATGGGATTTGGGATCTGTTCCAACCCAAACACCTTTCCCATCCTTATTTCAAGTGATTCCTTCACCTGGGTCATGCACAGGAGAAGGGATGAAATTCTGCACCTGCACAAAGCTCTGCTGTGGCTTGGGAGTAGTTGGAGAGAAAAGGAAATATGGGGAGAAATGGAATAAAAGAATATTGATTCCTCCCCAGATTCACCCTGGAGGGCTGGAAATCAGGAGTTATGGTTGTAGCAACTCCCCTCTCTCTAAAAAGGGAAGAAAATCAGGATATTTGCAAAGATTTCCCAAGGATTCCCATTTACCTGCAGGACAGTGAGGTCAGAACCTGCTCATCCAGCACCTGATGGAGCAGTTTGTCCCTGCTGTGAGGAGACCAGGGGGAAGCACAGCCCCAGATCCTCTGCTCTGTCCTCTCCGACCTTCTCCCAGCCCTTTTCCACCTGCAGACAGGGAAGGGGCTCCCTCCAAAGCCTGACCCATATCCCAGTCCCTGCTCTGCTTCTCCAGGCTGGTGGGATCCGTGAGGGATTTCAGAACACACCATTCCCAGCTGGAATGTCTGCAGGGACACCGGGACACGGAAAGGTCACTGCTCACCTTCCCTGCTCCACTGGGAAGGGTTCTTCCAGCACCAGAGAGGAGAAGAACCTCTAAAGGCTGCTGCCCTTCGTATTTCACATGGAGGAAAAGCTCCCAACATCCAGAAGGAGAAGAACCTCTAAATGAGACTGATGCTCTGTGTGGAGGAAAACCTCCCAAAACCCAGAAGAACCTCTAAAGGCTGCTTCTCCTCGTATTTCACATGGAGGAAAACCTCCCAAAACCCAGAAGAACCTCTAAAGGCTGCTGCTCCTCGTGCTCTGTGTGGAGGAAAATCTCCCAACATTAGGAAGGAGAAATTCTAAATGCTGCTGCTCTTCATATTTCACATGGAAGAAAAGCTCCCAACACCCAGGAGAACCTCTAAAGGTCTCTAAAGAACCTCCAAATGCTGCTGCTCTTCATATTTCACATGGAGGAAAAGCTCCCAACATCCAGAAGAAGAACCTCTAAATTAGACTGATGCTCCTCATGCTCCATGTGGAGGAAAACCTCCCAGCACCCAGGAGAACCTCTAAAGGCTGCTGCTTCTCGTGCTCCATGTGGAGGAAAAACTCCCATCATGAGGAAGGAGAACCTTCAAATGCTGCTGCTCTTCATATTTCACATGAAGGAAAAGCTCCCAACATCCAGAAGGAGAAGAACCTCTAAATTAGACTCATGATCTGTGTGGAGGAAAACCTCCCAGCATTAGGAAGGAGAACATTTAAATGATTCTTCATATTTTACGTGAAGGAAAACCTCCCAACATCAGGGAGGAGAAGAACCTCTAAAGGCTGCTGGTCCTCATGCTGCACATGGAGGAAAAGCTCCCAACGCCCAGGAGAACCTCTAAAGGTCTCTAAAGAACCTCTAAATGCTGTTCTTCTTCATATTTCACATGAAGGAAAAGCTCCCAAAATCAGGGAGAAGAACCTCTAAAAGCTGCTGTTCTTCATGCTCCATTTGGAGGAAAAGCTCCCAGCATTAGGAAGGAGAAATTCTAAAGGCTGCTGCCCTTCATATTTCACATGGAGGAAAATCTCCCAACATCAGGGAGGAGAAGAACCTCTAAATACTGCTGTTCTTCATGCTTCATGTGGAGGAAAAGCTCCCAACACCCAGAAGAACCTCTAAAGGTCTCTAAAGAACCTCTAAAGGCTGCTGCTCCTCGTGCTCCATGTGGAGGAAAACCTCCCAATATTAGAAAGGAGAACCTTTAATTGGTTCTTCATATTTCACATGAAGGAAAACCTCCCAACATCCAGAAGGAGAAGAACCTCTAAAAGCTGCTGCTCCTCGTGCTCCATGTGGAGGAAAAGCTCCCAACTTTAGGACAGAAGAACCTCTAAAGGCTGCTCCTCCTCATATTTCACGTGAAGGAGAAGCTCCCAACATCAGGACAGAGGAACCGTGAAGGTTTTGTCCTTCATGCTCCATGCAGAAGAAAACCTTCCACCACCAGGAAGGAGAACCCCTGAAGGTTTCTGTCCTTCTCCAGCCCAGAAGAGCCACAGATCCAGGGGAAGCTCCTGCCTGTCCCCGTGGCACCGTCCCCAGGGCAGGAGAGCTCCAGGAATTCCAAGGAATTAAAGATTCCCAAGCCCTGCCTCGGACACCTCCACACTCCACGGGTTCCTTACCAAAACTTCTCGGGGGACAAAACTCTGCCAAGATCCTTGTCCGTGTGTCCTGCCCCTCTAATGTGCCCCTGTTCCAAGAGGGAACATTAATTAATCAATCAAGAGCATTAATGCCAGAGGCAGCGAGCAGCAGAGCGGAGCGAGCAGGGGCACACCCAGCTGGGGACGGGACCCTCAGGGGTGACACAGAGGTGACAAAAACGCTGTCCTGAGGAGGGAGGGGTCAGCGAAGCCATCCCGCGCTGCCCAGGAAGCCGGGCACCGAAAAACAAAGCACGGAGGTGGCGGGGATGGGGATCAGGGTTAAAGTTCAGCTGGGAAAGTGGGCACAGCTCTGGGGGTGATGGAGGTGGGAGCTCAGGTGAGGGCTCAGGTGAGCTGGGCTGGGAGCTCAGGTGAGAGCTCAGTTCAGAGCTCAGGTGAGCCAGGCTGGGAGCTCAGGTGAGAGCTCAGGTGAGAGTTCAGGTGAGAGCTCAGTTCAGAGCTCAGGTGAGAGCTCAGGTGAGAGCTCAGTTCAGAGCTCAGTTCAGAGCTCAGGTGAGAGCTCAGGTGAGAGCTCAGTTCAGAGCTCAGGTGAGAGCTCAGGTGAGCTCTGCAGGAAGGGACAGCAGAGGGGATGGGAGCAGCAGTGCCCAGCACAGACTGTGACATGGAAAACCATCCAGGGGTATCCAATAAAACAGAGTTTTCCCTCAAAACCTCCAGGCACTTCCAGCAGCTCCACACCCTTAGGAAAATGTTCCAGCAGCTGCTCAAGGAGCAACAGCAAATTCCCTGTGACCTGAAAAAATGGGAAAAGTCTTGGCCAGAGGGAAAAATACCAACTGCTGTGGGATCCTTAATGTTCCAAAGGAAAAGGTACAACCACTCAGTCCAGGGCTTATTGGAAACCCAGTGTAAGGAATAACTGTCCCAAGCTGCTCCTCCAAATTGTTCCTGCCCCTCTGGGATGAGCTGAGCCTGCTCCTGGTGTCAGCCCATGCTCCTGGGAATGTGAAATGTGACAGTAAAAGCCTCAAGAGCCGGATTTGAGGAATGTTAGAAGTGTCTCTCTCACAGATTACTTCACACAGAAACTTCAGAGGAGGCCCTGGAGCTTCTCCAGGGCTGGAGCCCCTCTGCTCTGGAGCCAGGCTGGGAGAGCTGGGAATGTTCCCCTGGAGAAGGGCAAAATGCAGGGAATGCTGAGAGTCCCTGCAGGGGCTCCAGGAGAGCTGGAGAGGGACTGGGGCCAAGGGCTGCAGGGACAGGAGCCAGGGAATGGCTTCCACTGGGAAAGGGGAGATTGGGCTGGGATCTTGGCAAGGAATTCCTGCCTGGGCTGCAATTCCCAGATTTGCTGGGGCTGCCCCTGGATCCAGCTGGGACAGTGGGAGCTGTCCCTGCCCATGGATGGATGGGACATGGATGGGATTTAAGGTCCTTTCCCACCCAAACCATTCCAGGATTCCATGACCTGAACGCCAGCTCCAGCTTGAAACACATCCACAGGGCAAGACGTAATTCCACCCCCAGGAGAACATTCCAGAACTGCCTCTCCTGCCCGGCCACCCTGCAGCCTCGAGGTCTCTAATTGAGCCTGGTTAATGAATTCACCGCCAATTAACGCAGGAGGGAGAGCCGGGGCTCCCAGCACAGCGCAGCGGAAAGCTCGGGCATGCAGGGCCAGCCACAGCCCAGGTGACAACATCTGCTGCTGGCCAAGACACAGGTGAGTCCACGGGAAGATTAAAAACATGCTTGGCAATCCCAAAAACACCTCCCCAGCAGCTCGTTAGCCACGAAATGCAGAGATATAAAGAGTTACCCACTGCTATTGAGACAGCACTTATGACAGCTCCCAAGTAGCCCTGGATGAACTTGGATGTCGGAGAAGGCTTTGGAAAGAAAAACAAAGCATATTTTCAATAAACAAACTTCTGGTTATTAATATTCAACCCAGTTTTTTGTTTGTTTGTTTTGGTTTGGGTGTATTTGTTTCGAAGCACAGACAGGTTTAATTTTTGTCATATTGTTCTGTGACACATGGTCTGTCATCCCGAGAGGCAAAAGCCAGGAAATCGTGGCCTCCCGAGCAAGGTTACGGGGAATGGAAAATTAATTGGCACCAGAAAATTACAATAATAGCAGCTCAAAGGGAGGATGTGAGGGGAATTCAGCAAATGGTACCAAATTAGCATCTCTGCCCTCCAGTGCTGAACCCCAAACTCGCCACAGCCAATAATTTGTCTGTGAAATGTTCTCTCCATGAGCTGGATGGATTCCAGCTCAGCTTCCCACATCCCAACACGGGATGAGTGGAGGAAGGAAGGGAGCAGGGACGGCCCCAGCAAGGACGGAGCAGGGACGGCCCCAGCTCTTCCCACGGCCACCAGAAGGAACAAAATCCTCGGGTGATGGGAGCGAGGAGCTTCCTCCTGCTCCCCCAGCACAGCTCCTGCTCCTGTAGATCCCAACCACTCCGGACCAGCCAGGAGCATGGGCTGTGCTTGCCCACGGGCCAGTGGTGCCTCAGTGTCCCTGGGGAGGTTTGGGGGCCGGGGAAGAGGCAGGGATTGCGGGAAGGCCCCGCGGTGCTCACCTTGCTCGCGTTGCGGTTTGCATAGTTCACACACGCGTTGTGGCTCTGGTTCAACCACTGCGGGGCAGAGGAGACACTGCATCAGCACAAACCCTGCAAAACCCCAAAAAAACCCACAAAAACCCTACAAAACCTCGCAAAACCCCAGAAAACACCAGAAAACCCAACAAAACCCCACAAAAACCCTACAAAACCTTGCAAAACCCTACAAAAACCCAACAAAACCCTACAAAACCCCACAAAACCCAACAAAACCCTACAAAACCCTACATAACTCTACAAAACCCTACAAAACCCCACAAAACCCCACAAAAACCCTACAAAACCCCACAAAACCCCACAAAAACCCCACAAAACCTCACAAAATCCTACAAAACCTCGCAAAACCCCACAAAACCCAACAAAACGCTACAAAACCCTACATAACTCTACAAAACCCTACAAAACGCCAAAAAACACCACAAAACCCAACAAAACCCCACAAAAACCCTACAAAACCCCACAAAACCCAACAAAACCCTACAAAGCCCTACATGACTCTACAAAACCCCACAAAACCCCACAAAACCCAACAAAACCCCACAAAACCCCAACAAAACCCAAAAAAACCCTAAAAAACCCTACAAAACCCAAAAAAAACCCTACATAATAATTCCACCCCGGGTGGGCAGGGACACCTCCCACCATCCCTGCCCACCTGGCCTTGGAATGGGGTGGGATTTAAGGTCCCTTCCCAGCCAGAGCAGTCCAGGATTCCATCCCGCATGTCCCTGACCAGGCCAGGTGAGTGGGAAGGGACCTTGAATCCCACCCCATTCCAAGGCCAGGCATGGACAGGGATGGTGGGAGGTGTCCCTGCCCACCCAGGCATGGAATGGGGTGGGATTTAAGGTCCCTTCCCAGCCAGAGCAGTCCGGGATTCCATCCCACGTGTCCCTGACCAGGCTGGGTGAGGGTCCCTCAAGCCCCTGAGGGTCTCAGGATGTCCCAGCCGGGACAGCTCCCAGCCAAATCCACCAGAGCCCAAATTCCCGGCACAGTTGTCGCGCTGTGCTCCCGGCAGATCCCGCTGTGCTCGGAGCCCTCCTGCCTGCACAGCTCCATCCCCACTCACACTGCAGACAATAAAAAGACATTTGCCACTAGAAAGGAGGCTGAAAATAACTCGTTCCTTCCTTTCAGCTGGCGACGGAATCACACTTGTGCTGTGTTTACTATGGATCCCTCGTTCCCGTGCCTGCTTCCTCCCCTTACTCTTAATTCCCAGAATTTTAACGGGAGATCACACCAGCACCTCCCTCCACACAGATGATTTTCCCCCAAAGTTCCTGCAGCAGACTGAATGCCGGGACTTTGCCAAGCACACCTATTCCCAAAATTCCTGGGAACGGGGCCTCCCATCACCGCCAGCCCTGCACAGACGTTTCCCTCCCAACATCCTTCCCCTGGGAAAATCCCAGCTCCTTGTCCTCCCCAAGGCAGATGTGTGAGCTTGGGGCCACACCACACGTGGAACAACCGCTTTACACCCGGACAAAACGGCTCCAAAACGCTGATTTTTGGTTCTGGCCTCTTCTGCCACGGCACAGGAAGGGGTGGGATGAAAAGGGGAGCCAGGATTTGTTTCCAGGCCTTTCCCTGAATGCAGCCAGGCACATCCAAGGCACGGCCAGGGTGGGACAGAACTGTCCTGGGGTGAAATCAGCTCTTCCCTCCCCACATTCCCACCCTTCCCAAGGAGCGTTACCTGCCAAAACACAGTGGAGGCCAGGGTCTGGTTGGGCAGGAGAAGACCAACAACCTGCAAGAGAGGAGATTCATTATTGAAGCATCCCTGCTCTGCTCCCCGTGCTTTTCCAGGCATGCAAACAGCCACGCTGATTTCCAGGGACTTGAATAAATTATCCTCGTTTCTGGCTTGATTTCATTCCCGTTCTTTTTTTTCCATCCCAGTCATTATCAGCCTCCTGTCTCTGCGTTTTCCAGGGCTGGGAGTGGCTGATGTCGCTGTCCCTGAGCATCCCCTGGCATTGTCACTGCCCGAAGATCCCATTCCAACCCAAACAATTCCCTAATCCAGGTATTTCTGGAGGGAAACTGGACGAAGGTGAAGAGTTCAAAGCTGCTGTTGGCAGAGAACGAGGGGGTTCTCCTTTTCCTTTGGCACATTCCCACTTTGGGACACCAGGAAAAGTTCCCTCTGGAGCATGTGAGGGCAGCAGAGCCGGCTGGGAGCGCTCTGGGGTTTGGGATTTATTCCAGTGAATGAATCTTGGCTGCTGTGTCACACCCCGAGGCTCGGGGCAGCCTGGCCCGGCACATCTGGCCAGATGTTCCCTGCTGGGGCTGGACACCGGGGGCTCTGCAAGGTCACCCCTGGCAGCACCTGAGGCCACACAGGTGTGTCCTGGGTGGCACCACAGGGACAGAGCTCTGCAGAGCCCATCTCTGACACACCAAATACCCGCCCTGGAGCCGTGGGTCTGCTTTGGGGTCACGGTTCCTGCTTTGGGGTCACGGTTCCTGCTTTGGGGTCACGGTTCCTGCTTTGGGGCCATGGTTCTGCTTTAGGACCATGGCTCTGATTTAGGGACACGGTTCTGCTTTAGGGCCATGGTTCTGCTTTAGGGCCATAGTTCCTGCCCTGGAGCCATGATTCCTGCTTTAGAACAGTTCTTCTTGGTTTAGGTCCATTTTTCTTATTTTAGGGCCATTTTTCCCCTGGTTTGGGGCCGTTTTTCCTTTTAGAGCACAAGAAGCTGAGGAGGAGGAGGAAAGGGATGCCGAGGGATCCCGAGGACCGGCCCTGCAAGCACAGACAGAACAAAGACCTGCAAGGTGAGAGGATCCCTGCCTCACCCTGTCCCTCCCCAGGACACCCCATATTTCGGGAGGTGTTTTCACCACGGGGTGAGAAGGCCGAGCGCCTCCATCTCCACTCGTGTCTCCCAGGCAGGAAAAGCTGCCAGCTCATTCCCAGCCTCAGATCCTCTCCAGTTTATTCCCAGGAATTTGTGGGGGAAGAGACCCCTCCTGTGCCAGGGATGAGCGGGAAGAGGAGGAAACGTCTCCATTGGGGACGTGGAGAAGCGCCACCAGACAAAAGGGGACGGGGCTTGGGCAGCCTCATTTCATTCCCATCTCCTCTCCCTTCTCCTCCTCCAGCTTTTCCTCCCACTCTCACGGAGTTGCAGCGACTTTGTTCCCTGGCCCGGCGCCAGCTCCCACTAATTTACGGCTGCGTTCCCCCACGCGGAGCTCGGCATTAATTAGCGCAGCCCCTAACGAAGGTTCGGGGCTGGGACCCTGCTGGCCCCCAGTGCCCCAGAGCCAGCAGGATGACGAGGCTCGGTGAGAACGTGGCCAGGCAGAGGCTGGGGCTGAGCGCCCGGGGAAAATTCCGACGAGGAAGGGGGGAAAAAAAAAAAAAAAAAGAAATTAAATGAAATGAAATAAATAAATAAAAAAAAAGAGCACCCAAAAATCTGTATGACTGAAAGAGGCACGTTTAAATGCAAACTCTCCATATGTGCAAGAGTCTGTCAAGAAATGTACAATTTCACTTTTAATTACTGTCAGGGGAAAAAATAACTAAGAAGGAAAACAAAATATATATATAAAAAAAAAAAAAAAGAAAAAAGAAAAGAGCTCCTAAACACTGGCGAAGCGTCGGCGACGGAATTTAATTGGTGATCAGGTGTGAGGGGCCCTCGGTGGCCCCAAAGCCACCCCTGGGACATGAGTGAGCTCTGAGCAGCCCCAGCTCAAAGCCCAAACCCTGCCTGAGGTGGGAGCTGCAGCCCCAAATTCCCATTGCATCCTTCGGGGTTCTCTAAAACCCCCTGCAGGGCCCGATTTTGGCTGACTCTCCCCAAGGGCAGCTCAGGGCTGCATTTCTGGAACAATCTTCCCCCGGAGGAGGAAGCACAGCCGGGGAAGAGGCTCCAGCCCTGCTCTGCACAGAGCCCTGCAGAGCACGGAGACAATTCCAGAGGCTCCAGCCTCTCCGTCCTGGGCTGGAAAGGGGGAAAAAGGCAAAGCCAAGCTCTGCTCGCTCCCAAAATCCCAGGCTGCTCCCTCTGCCCCAGGCTCAGTCCCAAAGCCACGGGAAAGGATGGAGAGGCAAAGCCCAGGGTGGTGGCATGGGAATCAGAAAATTCCCGGGATTTGGAGGTGTCAGGGGAGCTGCTGCAGGGCTGGGAAAGATCCCATTATTATATTTTAAACAAATAAATCGATTGTTTCACCTCAATCCCAATGGGCGACCCCAGCCCGGGAAATACCCCGGGAGCTGCTCATCCTCACCCCACTCCTGGTGTGGGGAGACATGAGCTGGGGACAAGGACAGAAACCCCTGGGGACAAGGACAGACCCCTGGGGACAAGGACAGACCCCTGGGGACAAGGACAAACCCCTGGTGACAAGGACAGACCCCTGGTGACAAGGACAGATCCCCTGGGGACAAGGACAGATCCCCCTGGTGACAAGGACAGACCCCTGGTAACAAGAACAGAAACCCCTGGTGACAAGGACAGAAACCCCTGGGGACAAGGAGAGATCCCCTGGTGACAAGGACAGACTCCTGGTGACAAGGACAGACCCCTGGGGACAAGGACAGACCCCTGGGGACAAGGACAGACCCCTGGGGACAAGGACAGACCCCTGGGGACAAGGACAGACCCCTGGGGACAAGGACAGACCCCTGGGGACAAGGACAGACCCCTGGGGACAAGGACAGACCCCTGGGGACAAGGACAGACCCCTGGGGACAAGGACAGACCCCTGGGGACAAGGACAGACCCCTGGGGACAAGGACAGACCCCTGGGGACAAGGACAGACCCCTGGGGACAAGGACAGACCCCTGGGGACAAGGACAAACCCCTGGTGACAAGGACAGACCCCTGGTGACAAGGACAGAAACCCCTGGTGACAAGGACAGAGCCCTGGGGACAAGGACAGACACCTGGTGACAAGGACAGAAACACCTGGTGACAAGGACAGATCCCTGGTGACAAGGACAGACTCCTGGGGACAAGGACAGACTCCTGGTGACAAGGACAAACCCCTGGGGACAAGGACAGACCCCTGGGGACAAGGACAGAGCCCTGGGGACAAGGACAGACTCCTGGTGACAAGGACAGACTCCTGGTGACAAGGACAGATCCCTGGTGACAAGGACAGAGCCCTGGGGACAAGGACAGAGCCCTGGGGACAAGGACAGATCCCTGGGGACAAGGACAGAGCCCTGGGGACAAGGACAGACCCCTGGGGACAAGGACAGAGCCCTGGGGACAAGGACAGCCCGAGCCCAGCGCAGCCTCTCTTGAGGAATTCCCATCCCCCTTTGTGGAACACAAATCTCGAAGTGTTTTTATGCTGGAGCCGGCTGCCAATTTTGTCACTAAATTTCACAGATCGATTGGCAGAAATGTTACATTTTAATTTTAACATTTGAAACGTTCGGGGGTTTTTTTTTTTTCCCCTCTCTAAATGACAAGAGGTTCCAGTTTATCCTTTACAGCTCCTGAAATTGGGCTCATCTGACAGCTCTGGGCTCCTGTGACAGCTCTGGATTGGGGCCGATCTCATTGGCAATTTGATCGTTAACTCGTTTTTGTTTAACCTTTTCCTTTAAAATGCCCCACACAAAGTTCCCAGCAAAGCTTCACCCACCACAACAAACAGCAGCTGATCCCCCGCTGCTTTTGGGGTTTGCACCCTCCCCGGAAGATTTTGGGGTGCTTGAGATGAGCTCGGAGCACCCCTGGCCTCGAGGAGGTTCAGTTCTCTCCAATTCTCCCCTTTTTGCTCCTCAACCATTCCAGAAGCTCCAGCAAGAGCTGCTCCCTTGGAGGATCAAAACTCCTGGCACCGATTTTTCATGGGGGACAAACCGTGCCTCAGTTTCCCACCAAAAACTCCTGGCACTGATTTTTTATGGGGGACAAACCGTGCCTCAGTTTCCCACCGAACTCCTGGCACCGATTTTTCATGGGGGACAAACCGTGCCTCAGTTTCCCACCAAAAACTCCTGGCACCGATTTTT